GAAAAAAGTCATTCAGATAACCTTGTCAGAAACCCATGTCATTTCAGACTACTTACTAAATAATTATATGTTTGTTTCCTAACAGTTTAAAATAGTATATCATTTTCAACCAACAAATGCGTGGTTGTATGCCGGTATCACTGAGAGTTGTGTTAATTAGTTCTTGCCGTCTAATAATTGATAATTTTCTTTTTACTCTGTTATTTAATTACATTAAATTTTGTCGCGTAAAATTTTGTTATAATAGTTTTTGTCGTCTCAGAATGTGGTAACCATAGTTGCTGTCGTCTAGTTTCATTTGGAATTGGACTTTTGTTTTTAAAATTCAATTTTCTTGTGTTGATACAGTTGTTTTTTCTCTTTCAGCTGATGTCACTTACACAGAAATGTCATTTTCATGGGAACGTTTAACGAATTAGGCTTATCACCAAAGTCTTACTCGAATAGTATATTTTAAAATGAGAAAACGTTGCAAATAGATGCCTACATTAGGAACTTTAACAATGTAAAATGTATCTTATTTCTTCAAGCTTATTTTTTTTTAAACTTTACGTTGAAATGAACATTTAGAGATGCTCTATTAACGTTCAACATATTTTTCAGTAGTTTAATTATATGTACACTGAAAACATACATTTATTGATATGCACATGGTTATTGATAGGCAAAAATATTGAAAAATGTACCTTCATATTAAAAGTGGTGGATATTCTATGTAGATTCCTTTCTTAACATAACTGTTGGTATTTGAAGATATAATACTGATATGCTGTGTTTATTGCAACACCATATCATATAAATGTTTCTGCTAGTGTTTAAAACATATCAAACATCTTAGCTATGGTCTCTGAGTCATTAACATGAATATATATTTGTTGAACATTTGTTATCATCGACATTTGCTCCAGGTTGTTCAAATAATCACCTACCTGCACATTGAGAGTATCTGATACATTAAAATATGTTTTGGTGTTTGTACGAAAGCAGCATATATATAATGTGTGCAATTTTTCTTACGAGTAATTATCCATACAATATCGCCAGTGTTTATAGAATGTTCTAATTGAAATTAACTATATACATTGTACATATCTGTATAAATAATAAATGCTATTTCTTATCAAAGTTTTATGTGTTTTTGTAATTAAACGGACACCTTTCTTTCTTCTATTTCTTTTTGTCTTTTATCAGAAACCAATATGCTCTATCCCAACTACATGCATGTGCAATTTTGTTGTCAACTATGTCATCAGACATCTTCTGAAAAACTAACAAACGCCAAATGAACTATCTACAATAACCTCAACGATTTGTTAAATATGGAACATATTTTTGTTTTTATTTAAAAATAATTTTCATAGCTTCGTTTTCCATAATTCTAAGGTATTTCTAAACTGAGAAATTTTTGGAAAGCAATTTGACTTTGTTTAAAAATGTTCGCTGTAAAAATGATTTGTTTCCGTTGCTAGTATTTGAGTTAAACCTTAACAAGCTGGAACCGGAAATTATCAGTATATAGAGCCAGACCGGGCCAAATCAGTGTGAACAACTATGCAATCTGACCAGGTTTCCAGTTTGTAGCAAATCTCGGGATTCCAAATGTCCATCCTATGCTGGTTTCTGACCAATCAAATACCTCAGATTCGAATTGGGCATAGACAAATTTGTTAGGCACAGGATCCATATATTTTCTATACTCTCTTTGCTTTTGTGTTCTTCAAATTTACTAGAGAACGATTTGGCACTTTACGAGTTACATGTAACATGGGTCTTGTTGTTTTTTAAAATATTATTGTCCCTGCCCTCCCCGTGATCTTCAGTGTGCATCAATGTCATGCCGTTATCAATTGTAATTCCAATGGTCACCACCTAGTAAATAGCAGTGACATTGACTCTTGGAGTTAAAATTTGACATCCTCCGGTATTCATAGGGGCAAAGACCGGAGTTACACTTGCCTGGTACATAACGTAAAGACGTAAAAGGGATAGATAACACCAAGTGTTGGACTAATCTTATTATTATGGTTTAAGTTTTTCTCAGTAAATGTGAGGACAACGATAATAAAACTGATTCAAACTGATTTCAAACAATGTGTCAGTAACCTATATGACGTACACAGCGGTGTTGTTTTGTTTACGACGTTTAGATTTGTAAAAGCTTTACAAAAACAAATAGAACCGTCAAACCCTATAGGGATTCTTTGGAACAGAGCATCAAGAGGTGCATTTTTCGTAGCTCTGGTCGTATAGAGCTCCCTGTTTGTCTTTGCTGCAGGAATGACATTTTGTGATTGTTAAATTCATTCTGATATACTTTTAATTTTGTGAGAACACATCGTCTGTTTGTTGTTGTTTGTTAGCCTGTTTGCTCTTTGTCCTGACTTAATTTTATGAAAATAACAATATATAATCTTGTAAACTTACTGAAATCGCCGACCTAACATAGCAGATAACTACTAATGTTTTTGGATAAATGAGTCAAGTGTTTGATAAGTATCTCAAGACATCCTCAAATGTGCTTTTTAAAAATAAGTCAAAAGTGAAACCCTGTTCGACGTTACGAGTGATTTTCGTCCTGTAGTGTACCCCCAATTAATGGTGAATAAAACTCAAACAGTTTGGTACTCTATTCGATATGATCTCTTCAGCACACTGTAGCCGTTGATGTTTTTTTCCAGACTTTGAAATATAGATAATATTAGTCTTGGATTAAATATAATAATTAAAATCATATCCCTTACTGTTGCTCCTATACCCCTCGAGTAACGGAGAGAAAACAATGATCAGATTTGAATGACATTTGGACTCTGTTCATAAACACATTTGAACAAGTTTAATGAACTGTTCCCAGAATTGAATGAAATTTGCCAAAGGTCGCTTCTACTTTCTATTGTCAGGTCAATGACTTTATGACAGGTAAATTTGTTTTGTCTCTTAATTGTCTAAGGCACATCACAAAAAACTCCTTAAAATTGGCGACATGTGTTTTTTTTCTCGTAATATTTAATATACAGTGGCCTTTCTTATCAGTGCAAAGGTTATACCGTCCGGAAAATAATCACTTTGTGGAAATGAGAATAATTTATATTAAAAAAACAGTAACAAAAACAAACAAACAAGTATGTATGACCAGTAATTCACCAATGTGCCATTAAACACAAACATATAAACAATAAACTGAAAAGTTACCGAAACAGGAATATTTACTTACAAGTTTGGCAATTAAAAAAATGTATTTTTAATTCAATGTTTGCTAAAACTCTCTCCAGATAAGACTATAAAAGTATGGAAACAACATATTTTGTACTTGTAAAATTTTATATTTTTTACCCTCAAAGGTTTTAAACGTGCAGTATATATAATCTCTTCTCCTTATAAATGTCAATTGCTCAGGTAGAAAGAAAAACAGATGTGCAAAGACAAATGCAAAGATGGACCTTGAAAATATATTAAGATTATTCAAAATAATGTCTGCCTAAGCAATTGACAATTACACTTTTACTTTTTGTTTATTAATATCCCGGGGTTCTTTGATACTTAACGTTTATGGGAAAATGAATGAGATTTGTATCCTATTTAATAAGTGATCATGACCCTTTTCCAAAACTGTTTGTCATAAATCTATTTCAACAGATCTAATTATAAAGTCATTTTAAACTATTTACATTGTCTGTCAGCTTGGATGATTTTAGAGGAGGTCACTACGGTATCAAGGTAATACCAAAAATGCAAGTATGAAATGGTATGTGTCAAAATCCTCAAATTAAGTGAAAAACGTCCAACTTTATAAACAGCCGATATGTTAGTATATGAGATTATAACATATTTCAATTGACAGTTTTAAATGAAGGCAGCTAGATACGCCACTCGAAGTCTTCGCATTGTATTGTTCAGATCGTATTGATCACCCACCCAACCCATTAACTGTTGTAAGTATTAGACAATATGTTGTGACTTAAATATCCATAATTGTATTTACTATAAGATAAGCATAAGATAAGTGGAAAAGCAAGTTTTTGTCTTTATTGGCAGCAAAGCTTCTGATTGTTGCTATCCGTATATATCGACATGTTAATAATCAAGATAATAGTTTATTTTACGGCCTGTGAGCTTTCAAGATAATTAGTTCAGAGGTTCTGCTCCCGAAGATATATTTATATTTTATGTAAATTATTATATAAATTATTGTGTTTCTTGTATTTATATTTTATATAAATTATAATATTAGTGTTATATTTTGTTTTGATTTTTATTTTACGATATTAAAACAATGCGAAAGCGTTGTTGTTTATTCTGTACTAGACTTCGTATTAGGTTATAAATAATTTATTTTCGTTTCAGCAAAGCATATTAGAAAATAATGAATGGTAAAAGTAGTCAAATATGAAGATTTTTCATAAAATATTTTCTGACCAGGAATGTATGTCTTATTCATAAAATCAAATTTATCGGCGGAATTTTGATAGTATTAAAATAGTAGCATCGGCAGGTGTTACTTTTACTCGCATAAAACATACATGTGAATACCATGATATCGTAGAACCTGTAATAACTGTTAAAGAATTGGCAGATGTACTTGGTTCATCTTCTTAACCAACCCGCTTAAAATCAAATAATTACCAAAATAAATGTGAAAATTGTTCCATTTTATTTTAATATGTTTCTTTCTCTCCCAGTACAACTGGATATAATTATATCATTGTAAGCCAATCATATTTCTGTAAACATTCTACGAACGCCCAATCACATAAATGTGAATAATATTGAATTATACAAGTAAACATTGGCATTAAATGTATTTATATATTATAAAAGAACAAATAAAGCGGAAAAAAGTAAAGGTGTGAAAAACAGAAATTATATTTATATCTATATATACGTATCTTGTCTGAAAATACATACACTTTTAACACACACATGTTACATATCAATTGATATCTCTTTTTATGAACGAACGCACCTTACAAGAACAAACATAAAGACATTTGCCGATCGAAGCGTAATGTATAGAAACAAATTAAACGAAAAGGACAATCAACAAGATGAAAAATACGTCATAGGGAGAGCATGAACGCTGCGCGTGCTATAACAAACGACTTAAGAACGCGTTGGATCACAACATGGATGTAGATGTCTTTTACTATGGTCAAGAAACAGTTGTTTATAATACATTTATTATGTGTTATAACATTATCAACATCGGCAAAATCATTAGGTAAGTTGAATTTCTTGTCAATTGAAACAAAAGCACATTATAGTCAGGTATTTTTTGGGTTTTGAACATTACATATAGCAGAAATTTGATGTTTAGTCACAGTAACAAGTTATTTAAATCTGCAACTTTTGATTGACCATGAATGTATCTATGATATATATATTCATAAACGGAAGCGCGGAATGAAATACTGCTAAATTGTTTGCAAAACATACACATTACAAAATTTATATTACGCTGGCATTTTTGTGAGACGTTTCCTTTTTTTAAGAAGTTCATATGAAAATGTGATATTATTTTGTCTGTTTATAAGAAATGACCAAGTATTTACATTCTTGAACTGTTCTAACGTTCCAGGTACTACATAAAGCATTGTAAATTGAAATGTTGATTTTACCATGCTTTATAATAAGCACTTCCTTTTTCAAGCAATGTTGTTCTTTCATGTAATTAAAATTTTAAGTATTCAGCGTTTAACTTTCATATCTGGAGAGTTTTACAAAAGGTTTCTCTAAAAATGTTCAGCTGCAATTTCTTGTAGGTATTGCAATGCTTTTGTGCATGTGCACTCCCTTCCTCGGAAATTTACAAAGTCTTTCAATTAGGTACATTGTATCATTTTTATAAACAACACACACAGAAATTACATATGAATTACAGCATAAAACCATTTTGGTATATTGATGGTAAAGCAATCTTTTTTTTTTTGTTCTTTTTTTCTACAATTGTATCTGTTTTCACCGCAAACCCATTTCAAAGTGTATATTTTTAATATCAAATCACTAATTGTAAATCATTTTGTTTTTATCGCTAAAGATCATGCTATTTTTTACAGATGCATTAATGTCAAGAAAAGTTACGTATTTAGTAGCTTTTATTTGCAATGTACAACAAGTTTATATGGAGTAGTAAATGTAGTAACAATAACATCTTTTAATTATCCATATTCTTCAATCTCTGTAGCAATTATTTTAAAGGAACATTAAGCCTAAATTGAATATGAATTTCCTCTATATAAAAGGCAAACCTGTGTTTTATAAAGTTTTTAAGGATGCTTATCGTGTCAAATATATTTTTTTATCAGCAGCAAAAAGGAAACTTATCAGCAGCAAAAAGGAAACAACAGAGTTTTTTGTCCTTTATACAAAATTCTTAATCCCTAATGGCAAAAAAGGCATATGAGATAGTTCGGCTAAACGGCCAATGAGTACCGTGTCAGAAACTTTAACAGAAAACCAGTGATAAAACACCACGTTTGATAAATAAAAATAAAAGCATTTTAGTAGGGACTGGCAGTACTGCCTTTTATAAGATTGTATTATCTCACCGCTGTGGGTTCATGTGATGAACCTATCCAGCTAGCTAACGTCGATAATTCTACTCATGTTGTCATTATCTTCTGTGTTGTTGCGTCGTAAAACAGAACAAAATGTATTATCATTGTTAGTACATCTTATGTTATGTTGTGTTTTTTTCTGTTTCTTTCTTTTTTCTTTTTGCTATTTATATTTTGAAACAATTAGTTTGTATATTCATATGCATGTATACATCATGAAAACAGCAAAATACAATGCGTGTACAATACGTGTATAATTTACTATCAGCATATGATGTTCATTCCTTATTTTCAATTGTTTCCGTTTTATTTCATATCATATCGTTTAAAATATTAATTCTGATAATTTTGTTAGTACATGTTAAACAGCTGTTCTTTATATTATATTGTTTTATATTTTTATTGCATTTTGTCAATACATACTTTATATGTATTGTTTGTGAACAGAAATTTTGATTGTCATGTAAGTAATTGTTACAGCTGGCGTTTTACAATTAACATTGTAAAACCCATTGTTGTAAACACATCTTTTGTATTAACAGTCACATATGTATCTAAAATGATTTGGGTTTTTTTTTTCTTGTATTTTAACCGAGTTTTCATATTTGTCTATTCCTTTCTGTAATTAATATAGGTTTTCACAATATCTTATCTTTGTCAATCATTGCCTGGGTAAGTATTTAATAGTAGAGAATCTGTCAAATAAACAGCAAAGTGGTTACTCAACGTATTCCATAATTACTTAAATTGAACATATTTGCTCATTTGAAATAAAAATTTACATTTTTTAATTTGAACCACTATCAAATACCCTTTCTAAAATCAATCAGTGCTGATGCCACATTTAGAAAAATATGGTCTTCAGTCACTTGACTTTAGAGAGACCATTTCTATCTTCTGCTTTAAAGCCAACAAGCACATCCTAAATTTATCACTTTAAATGCATATTTCTTTTAAGAGTATATCACAATTACAGCTTCGTGTCATTTTACCATTTAAAAAAAATGCAATTGATGTATGGTAGTTAAAAATTCACAACTTTTAGCTGTTGTTTGGGGGGGGGGGGGGTTGTATGTTTTTTTTCCACAAAGTTTTTAACATATATTGTTTGGTTTTACACAAATAGCTACGCAAAAACAAAATCGCAAATTTTATGTATTTGATCATACGCTGGGAAATAAGGAAATATAAACATTGTTTGATAAAGTTCAATCTTTATAGTGGAATCTCAATAAATGAAATATATTTCATACAGCTTAATAAGTTTAAGTTTAATTTAATTGTAAGTGTATTCGGACTTTAATTGATTGAGGATTGAAATTCACGGACTTTGGTGTCCATTGATTTAAATGGATTTTAAAACTAATGCCGTTTATCTACGTAATTCACAGATTAAGAGTGGTTGTTAAATTATAGAAATGAAGGTTTTATCTAGCCACAAAGTGTATGTTTAAAATTAATTTTCAATAATTGATTTAAGTGCCTTTTACAGGTAACATATTGTTACAACATATGCTTTGTTAACTACGTATCTTTTTTTGAGCAAGTAAGTTATTTATCACAATGAGTGTCTCTCATGAAATAAATGTATATGATTATCCATTAAATAACTTTTAATCACTGCTAACATAATTTACCTTCTTGAAATTTTATTATTATTATTATTATTATTATTATTATTATTATTATTATTATTGTTATTGTTATTATTATTATTATTAATATTATTATCATTATTATTATTATTATTAACTAGGAAAAAAATATTTGTTCTGCATTTATGCTCGATAGAAACTTTTTTATATTTACTTACACACTACAATTACACTAAATTAGAACACCATATAGATGCGTTTAAATTCACAAAAGCGTGTACAATTTTTGTATTCATAGAAACATATGATTGCACTAAAACATTTGAAACTATTAATTTTGATTTGAAGGTACATTTGTATATTACCCTTTTCTGTTTATCAAGTTGAGAGAAAATCCAAATGGAATGAAACTTTATAATTTTTTCGTTTAAGGTCTTGTTAAAGAATTCAATAACGCCGATTTGAAAAAGGATAATACCAATGGACTCCATGAAACAAAAGAAACTACAATAGAAAAAATAAAAACCGAAAATTTAAATGATCTCCAGAAACCAAACAGTAAATCCCTACCAGAAAACAACAGCAATTTACAAGGAGATGATTCCATGTATACATTATCTGATTTAGAAGAAGCAGTTTCCAAAGAAATCGATAACAGACCAGTAGAAGATAAGGAAGTCAAAAATAATAAAAATGAATTAACAGATGATAAAGCATTATTAGATATATACACGGAATCAGATCTCGACGAAACTAAATCTCAAGACAAGGTTAAACCAGAGGTTGATAAAAAGTCTTCATCATTTTTATTTGTTCCGCATAAGCGACACAAACGGAGTGCAACAGCTCATCCTGACGAAGAAAACGGCGAGGGATCTGGCGAAGGTTCGGGAGACCTACCAACATCATTATAAACTGATTTCTTCAACAAGACTATAGGTACGTAAGATTAACACCACATCCAATTTATTCTTGTATCCTTAAGAATTTTAATAATATAGAAGACATCACTGGCTGCGGAATAAAAAAAAGTTAACAAAAGGTAATTAGGAATTTTTCTGACTATGACAACACTCAATTTGTTCGGCAGATAAAGGGTTATATCGTGGTTTCGAATAACCAAAAAGCAACATCAAACTGATCATAAAAAGCACTTCATGTACACTTTTTTAAACAATCAAAGGTTTACTTCCTTTATTTCTTTATTATGGTTTAAGTAAATTTAAAGAGTCATGACACACAATGTTTTAGGACGTTACATCTAGTTATTATTTTCTTATTGATATGTAGCATGCATTTTTTTGTGGTAAATTTCGATCCAAATATATCTTTCAGTCTATTGATTATTTAATTTAATAATTAGATTTGCAATATTGTGTGACATTAAGGACGTACAGAGTTTGAAACACACAGACTTCCGCTGCCAATATGTCTTTATTGCCCTCCGACTTGCAGCTCTCTTTGGAAAGTATCTCTAACAATAGTAATGCTATACAAATTATCAAACAATGGTATTCCAAACTTTCACCATTATTGATAATTGAAACTTAAAAAAAATACAGCTGCAACATATAAACGTATACTAGTAAAGTATTTATCAAAAAGGTTATTGCAAAATTTTCAAAATAGCGACGAACAAAAATATAAGCGCCAAAATAATGCAATGAAATTGACATAGCTTGCCGACGTACTAGTTTATTTCTAAATCAGGATAGATTCTGAGGATATCTTGATTTTTTTAAAGAAAACTTTGAAAGTTATTATGGAAATGTCTCGGACTCGGGCAGTCTACCATCCACATCGGTTAACAGTTTTATATGAAAACGGTGTTTTTAGAATTTAAAAGCATCCAAAGATGTTTCAAAACTAAATTGAAACTTTAAACAAAAAATTTTTAAACGATTCCTAGCCTAATTTGGGCGCTTTCTGTTTTTTTGTTATTTTTGCTCAATGAAAATGAATATTATGGAAAAAAAACGGAGTAAGCAAATGATAAATGTAATTGTTTTTGATATGCAAAAAAGATAAACTTTATTTGAGTACATGTTATTTACTTACAAGGCAAGACAATTTGATAACAGATTACATGTTGAAAGCTGATAATATTTTACGAGTCACCGGTTTTCATTGTTTTAAAAATATAGCGTGCATCAGCAGAAATAAATTGAACAGACATGTTGTTCCGAATATTGATCTATAATTAAGTAAAGCACAAAGGACAAACTACCAAGGACAAACATGCTGCCTTAAATCTGCCACGTATCAAATATTGTTTCTTTAAACTATAATGTAGCGACTACAAAATTAGAAATTCGATCAAGACATTCTTTCAATCCTTCTTTACAAATATACTCTATTCACCATTACGTTTTACAAACAACATATGTTAATAATAGACGTCAACATGTTTCAATAATCAACCCACGTTAAAAGAAGCTTGAAAATTCAGTTATGTTTCGATCGGAATATCACGGAAACATGGCGTGTAACATATATGCATGAAAACACTATTCTTTGACATGGAATTAAAGAAATAAGAAATGATAAAACTGTGTTTGTTTCTCTTAATTTCTGTATGCTATATTGAATCAAAGGGTAAGCTTTTCTTGTAGCACTTTTCTCGTTGTGTTTTTGAAGCTTTTTTTTTAATTCATAAACGACATTTTTATCATCATTTCGAAGAAATAAAACTGTTCGTTTATTTGTCCGTTCATTTGCGAGTTCGTCCATTCGTTTTTTGTTTTGTAATATATTTACCTTTTATGTTTCATGTTTGATTAAGATAAAATAAGTGCATATAGCATTTGAAACGAAACAATTTTTTTAAAAGTACAATGTAAGCATACTTTAATGCAAACCATAAATAAAGAGAAAGGTGATAATTAAAGTTCGGGTTTTGAACTGTGATAATTCTATTGTTAAGTATTCATTTTCCGCCGACAAAGAGTGTAATATAAACAATTCATTACAACCTCTTAAGAAAGAGCCTCTACAGCAATAAAATCTGTACTACAACAGTATCATATCTTGATGAGCCCCATATATGTAATTAGATAGTGTTATATATTTATGCAATAATATCCATAAAAATTTCTTATAATTTTACAGGTTTGGTAAATGAATTTGAAATTGAAGATTCAAACAATGCAACAATAGAAAATAAAACAGACCATCGTAACAAAACCAAACTTAACATCTTGCCATCAAAGAAAGAAATCAATGTCACCAAGAAACACCTTCACAACGACAAGAATAAAACTCGCTCACAAATTCACGACACGTCTATGTACACAGAGACTGATTTAGAAGAAACGTCCTCCCAAAACGATCTAAAATTTGACGGACCAAACACAAATGATAATGTGGCAAACAATACTAAAGAAAACCACGATTTTGGAAACAATGAAACAGAGATGTCTAACATATACACAGATTCGGATTTAGAAGCAACGGCGTCCAAAGATAAAAAGAAACATGGGGAAACTCCAGAGAAGGATAAAAAGTCGGCTGGTTCGTACTTATTTGTTCCTCATAAAAGAGAAATAGCCAACTCAGAACACGAGGAAGGATCTGGTGAAGGGTCTGGAAATGAACCACTGACCAATGATACTTCTTAATCTTCATCGACAGAAAACTTCGATTTTAAATGAAAGTAGACAGAGCTATTATTATAGACAAGTTCCTTACATTACAAAAAAACTTATATAATTTTTTTCATTTTCTGTATAATATCTTTGAAAATTTATTTGTACAATAAAGCTTCGTTTAAAAGCGGCACGCCCCAATATGAGTAAACTTAATCTTCTGGAATTTTTTTATCTTTAGTGTAAGATCTTTTAAAAATTCACAGTCTAGGTGTAACTTTTATTGTAGTATGCAAATTATTAAAGAAGTCAAGCCTTCTTTCTACTCTTTTACTAACAGAGTAACAAATGTTTCAGTAATTTTTTGCAAGTAGCTTATAGAGAGTTGGCGCCTTAAAGATATACTATGCTCAATTTTGTACTAGAAAATATTGACAATTGCTACACAGTCTCTTTATAAATATAGAATGTTTTGACATCACTCAAAGTAGGTATGTTATGTTAAGAATTCTACACACTATAGGTGGTCACAATATGAATATATGTCATTAAAAACTGGCAGTTTTATTTTAAGAAAAGACCATTTTGCCTTCCCATACATAGTTTATTCATTCTTTTATTCAAATTAGACATATTCAGTTAATTTCATAGATTTCAATAAATTACTAATTAGAATATTTACTAAAGGATGAGCAAAGTATATCTTTAAGCTAGTTAAACTGTACATTTAACAACATATGTGCTCATTAGAATGTTTTTAATTTTCATTAAAACAGATCCGGGCGCGTGCTGCTTCATCTGCTTTTACAAAACTAAGATTGTAATATGACATTTGTATGTTATTGTTATAACTGGGTGACACAAAGGTAGAACGAATAATGGTATATGGAACGTTTTAAAATACCATTAAAGTAGTTCGCGATCATGACGTCAGTTATTGGCGTCATCTGACACATGGCCTTGTTGTTCACAAAGAAATAATCAGGATCAGGATGAAATGATTCTGATTTTATTTCCATTGTTGTACTGAACCTTACATTGACCATGTAAGGTTATTACCTTTTGCAACATATTCAAAACGTTTAAAGCTGTTAATTGGCGACTAGTGTTTAGAAATGAAAATACAAAATGATAACTGGCTCAAAATAAGGTTTAGTTTTATAACCAGGAGTAAAACAAGGTCAAAGTCCAAAGGCACGTTCCATCTAAATTAATGAAGAAACTTTTTTCGTAAAACACATTGATCTTGTCATTTCAAGTCCATTTTAAAGTAACACTAAATGTTAAATTTTTTTATTTGAATTTTGATCCTGATCCATTGTGAACACAGGCCTTGTAAATAAATAACATTCTATATAATATAATGTATTATGTGTTTGTTTCAATTTTCAATTCTATTTCCTTGAGCATGTTTTAATCTAAACAAAAAAATCTCATGTAACATAAGTCTTCTTCGTATACATCACGTTTTGTCGTCTTCACAAAACACTCGTGGTTTTATCTCGGTACATCTCTTTCCAAATCGTGATGTATATTATTAATAGATGGACTATACTTTTGATGAATATAGATCTACAATAATAAAACAGGTTGACAAATGCAATTTTAGTTGTACTAAATATTGACTACATCTCCCAAAGTGAGAATAAGTTCTCTTAGAAATGAGATGTATTCATTATTTTCCTTTCATCTTAATTAAGTCGAAGTTGCATATTTACATTTAGGTATGCTCAATATTAGTTACACATTAATAACATTAATGTAATTATAGTTAAATTATTGTTAATGTTATTTTTTGTTTCTTAAGTTTTAATTTGTATTTGTTTTTGTTAAGTTTTAAATGAGTATGACATTTTAGAAATATAAAATAATGTCTACATTATTGTTGAATAATTACAGAATATTTATTAAATAGCGTACGTAACATTGCGTTCAAATTTCAGTAGACTTTTCATTTCTATTTATTTCCTGGAATAAATGATTTAGATCTTTTGGGTAAACATGGCTTATACAAAATAGTTCATCAACATGTAGTACAATATAGTCAGTAACACACTCATTTAAGGCTACCTAAAGTAGAATGTTCTCTAAAGTTATATTAGAGAAAATAGAAATCCCTAAAGAAAGCCTAAAACGGCAAAATTGGAAATGTTGCAGGCTCGGTGTGATTGAGTCTGTTCATGGGCGATACTGTCAAGTGCAAACTACCGTCCACGCCCCGAACACCGGCTTTAGCAGAATTCAACATTTAAGCATGAAAATGGCGACAATTTGAATTTAGAAACATCCACAGATGTTTTCATACGGCGGTTATCATGGAACCTTCAACGTGACACTTTCGTACCATTCCAAGATTCTTTTAAATGAAAGGTCTAAAGTCATTCTTTACAATGGGTGACCATTCCGGATTTTCCATAGAGAAATATTGCCACCAAAAATGTGTGGTATATTGAACTATATTATCATATTATATTAAGTACTTCGAAAATAAATATGTGTGGGTCAAAAAGGTATAAGGAACATGAAGCGATGTTCTATGCTGACTTGTGAAGATTGGTTGTCCAGACAAACTTTACTTCGGGCAACGTTTTGAATGGCAAAACAGCAATATCAATTTTAAGAGAACTATGTAAACATGCTGTTTGCACTTGAACGTTTCTTTTAAGAAAACTTTTTTTAAATCAGAGACAATTAACACTGCTTCCTTTTTTTAATAACATAAAACCGAATTTATTCCATTATCCAAAGTGATGGAAAAGTAAAAAGTAAATAAAATCTAACTCTGTGTAACCACGTAAATTATCATATTTATTTGAACTCAATTTTCAAATCAAGGATAATTTGCATAACAAATATAATTAATGAAGTATGTCCTTACTATCTGATAGAAAGTGTAATATATGTATAAATATTGTATGACAGACTTGGAAATATATAGCATAGCATATTTTGAAATATGAAAATAAAACCACAATGGCTTATAATTAAAATATAGCAAAATTTCTAAGTCTGCAATTGGTTAAATATTTGTTAAATACTTTATAACAAATCTCATATGAAAGAATAATGTATGTGAATAAAAATTCATCGCTATAAATTGTGCATGTTTTTTTATATATATAATTAATATTATTTAGATGACAGTCATTTTTTGTTGTGACAATCTCAAGATGTGAAAGCAACCTAATTGTATTGGTTCTTTTATTATTTAAATTTCGTTATATATTTCACCATTTATAGCTTTACAACTTTTAAGCAGACGGATAATTGTCAACTTTGTATAATTCGAATTGCTGACAATGTATATTACATATGTATTGCTTGTTTAAGATACAAACTTGTGTTATAGATTTTCTATAAGAGCAACCGATAAATGCAACACATGTTGTTATTTCAGTAAGAATAAAATATTCTATGATGTCAAACATAACTCTTGAAGCATTAAATACGTCATGAAAAGCTTACAATTAAAACATCATATAAAATCATGCATTCTTTAGTGCTTTAATTAAGATCTTAATTAAGAAACCACATATACATGGAATTGCACCCACACAGTGAAAATGTTGTTTATATGGTCAGGTCGTATGAAAAGGTCAGTAACACCGTCTTAATGTTAGGTATAAAGCATTCATAGAAAATGTTTAAAACATCCATGTGTAACAATATCATTACAAGTCAATGAACAAAATCAAGGTTACAGATGTATATGTTACAATGCTTTTAAGAATTTGGTAAGGTAAAGAACAAATAATTTAATATTCTTAGAAGTCTGGTAAAAGAAATATACTAAACTAATTTATTAACTTTATTTATTAATTATTCTATACCTAATAACGAAGCATCCTTAAACATAAGAAACATACATTTTTATTATATTATTATTATATTCTCCCTTTTAATATAATAATGAAATAATGAGGAATAAAATATATTGCTGGTGATATACAAGTATTAATTATAATGTGCGGGCATGACTTTATTTTTAATGCGTACCTTAAAGTGACATTATGCTCATATTTTTATAGTCAAGTTGAGCTGAATTGACTTTTTATTTCAAAAGATTAACTGTTAAAATGATGTTTGACTAACAGTTTATTTTGGAAAATGTTTTGGATAAATTTAAAATCTGCCTAAAATATAAAAAGACTGCCCCACTCTTTTTATAAACTAAACGTTTCAGGTAAGTTCTAATTGATATTTACGGAATTTCCGTTTTGATCCGGGAGTTATTTATTGTTTATATTATGTAAGTTCTATGTCTCTAGATCATCATATGCATTGCAACATTTCTTTTCTGATAGATTATCATTTCCTTTGGCACATTGAAGTACGGAATTTTACTGCCTTGAACTAAAATGGATTCAACTTTAATGTTTGTACTAACTGAGTGGGAATCCTTAGCAGTAGACTTTTTTAGATAAATCAATGTTAGAACTGGCGGATTTTTTTCCTTTAACTTGAAGGGACTCCATTGGCTTTTGTTTTCTATGATTTGTGAACCATTTTAATGTAGGTCTTAACCAATAAGTTCTGTAAAAAGTATTACCGCGTCCCTTTAGAATGATCAATTTTATTGTACAAAACGACCAAAAAATGAATGAAAAGCGTTGCGGCACTTTTCACTCAAATCGGACGTAGAATTGCACTCAGTACTTTTCAATATAATTTTGAGAATATTTCTTTATTATCCATTGCAGATTTTTCCATGTAAAGATTTTAAGTGCTTAACTTGATCTATGTAACAAGTCAGGTTTTGAGTTTGTAAGGTTTTGTGTTTGTATGGTTTTGTGTTTGTATGGTTTTGTGTTTGTATGGCTTTTGTGGAACTTCTTTAATTTGTAAATATGCTACCAAGTTCTTTCTTTGAGATAAAACTGACTTCAGATATGAATTATATACAGCATCTTACATTGAGACAATAGAGGGTACATACCTACATAAGTATATGTTACTTTACTCTTTGAAGACTTGCTGTGCAGTTCTTTTAATCTCAGTGTTTTTACAAGCACAGCTGACCAATGCTAATTGTCTACCGTGTTTCTTCTTTGTGGAAAATGTTGAGTGCAGATTCACATTATCAAATGTTTTTAAAATTGTTATGACCACCGGCAAAACCATATTAACTTATTTGGAAGATATGAGAATTTTTATGCTTGTTGATGGTAAAATGTGCTGGGACAAGGAAAAGATTCCCATACATCTAAACAGCGCATAAGCTAAACTAAGTTTGATAACTCTGATTACCGGTTTTTCACAAGACTTAGGATCTTTTGCCTCCAGTGTCCTGACTTTACCTTTTAGGCTCTGGACATACTTTACCTGCTCAACTCTCAAACAGCAGATGTACATCTTGTGTATAACAATGGCTTCTTTAATTCAGTTGATTAGTTGATGTTGTGGGCATTGGTATGGGCGGAAAGAGAATAGGTAAGCATTAATTCAATCTTCTTTATTTGTCGTATTTACAACAATCTGTGTACATAAATCATCTGGTACATACAATATGTTTCAATTTTATTTGTGAAACAGATACTTAGCAGGAAAAATTTCAACTGATATAATTAAAACAGAAGAAGTGTATTACTTTGAAATGAACAGAAAAAGATGAGCGTCACATGTCCTTCGATCATTATAAAAATATGATGCTTTTACATAAGTTTCTGAAATATATAAAAGTTAACTCTATTTTGATAACTTCACAGTGAAATATCAAAATATAAAGACAATGAAACCAAATTGTATGCGGATGAAAAGTAGTTATGATAAAAAAGGGCTGAATTACTCTCCTTACTTAAACAACAAAAATATTTGTACACATGGTTTAGAATTAAAAAAAAATATTATGTTTATTTTCAACATAAAAGATGTACCATTAGCTAATGATTTCACGGAGGGGAGCATATGGCACTATGCAGCAAAGTCAGTTATTTATAACTTAAAGCTATTTACAACAATTAAACGTTTAAAAATGTGCTTGTTTTGCATTATTTCACTCATGCACCCCTGCTGTTACATTTTCGCTTGTAAAATATTGCAATTGATCTTCACAGAAATGTGAAATCTATTTCAGTCTTGCATGTGTACATATTAAGTAGTAACTGGACCATTTAAACAGCTTCTTGAAATATTTAGATGGGTGTGAACCAAAAGCTTTTGTACATGCAGTCGTGGAAGCAGAAGGATATAAGAAGACGTGTGACGGTGATATAGTGTGAAGTAGGCTGTTTCTAGCGGCAACACTGTTTGTACTTTGGAGTGGCAAAAAGGGTCTTCTGAGAATTTCTACATGAAATGAAACTTGGGTTGGCTACTCGGCATAAGTGTCTTCTTATATTCAACACTACAATAGCATGTTGATCTGCAAGATACATTTTGTTGTAGTTATTAGTTGTAATAATTTTTATTTGTAAATTTTTGAGTAAATGCTGAAATTAGTTGACTTTCATTTGTTTGTTGTTGTTGTTGTTGTTTTTTTTTGGTTTGTTGTTGTTTCTTTTATTGTACAAAAGGCTATTAAAATTTACGTTATAAAATAAAAATAACTGTATTAATAATTACGAAGTTCATTATTGCCCAGTTAAGTTTAAGACTTTTAAATTCTATGAAGATTCTATGTTCGCATACACTGTTAACAATAAAGAAACTTTAGCTTGGACCTTGTAAAAATTCGTTGATTTTTTGACTTTGTTTTGTTTTTTAAAGGATTTCTAGAGAAAAATATCAAAGAAAACACAAAATATATTTTTATTTTTTATTTCAGCAGGTTTATTTCAAAGATGTAAACAAAGAACAAAAACGTGTTCTTCTGTTTTACACTTGTCCTCTGCCTGCAAATGAAAAACAACATATGTTTTATGATGCCATCAGGCAAGAAACATTTACAATACTAACGTTTGTAAATGTTTTCTATAAATATAAAAAGATATAGTTATGATAATG